AAGAACCAGAGGAAGATAGATAGGGAAATATTTTGTTGTAGAAATGCCTAATGGTCTTAAATGAGGCATCTTGTCTTCCTTCTCATCCCCTCCATTCCCCATTAATGGATATTTATTTTTCCTTCCATAGGGGGTCAAGTTGTATATAGGATTATTTCAGTTTGGATTCTTTGGATATTTGTGATGATTCTTTGCATACGGAGATAAAAATCCAGTACATCATAGGCTTGTTATGATTTTACCCCCATGGTATTGAGCGAACGTATAATAAATGCACAGACATTTTGACATTTTTCTGGATTTGGGGGTTTATTTTCCTATTCCACAGTGTAAGGAAAAGGCACACTGAAGAGAGAAGAAGGTGGCATAGATAGTGGGAAGTCAGAGATTTATTTACAACTCAACTGATAATAGGGGAAGGAATCGCGGGGACACGGACGTATTTAGGCAACATAGCATACTGCGTTAAGAACATGGGTCAGGAGCCAGACTGCCCAGCTTCGAGTCCTGACTCTGCCCCCTATTAGCTATATGAAATTGGGCAAATTACTTACTGGTCTGCACTTCAGTTTCTTTATCTGGACAGCAGGGATAAAAATAGTACTTCTAGGGCACCTGGGTGGCTCAGTCGGTTAAGCGACTGCCTTCGGCTCAGGTCATGATTCTGGAGTCCCTGGATCGAGTCCCACATCGGGCTTCCTGCTTGGCGGGGAGTCTGCTTCTCCCTCTGACCCTTCCCCCTCTCATGTGCTCTCTCTCTCAAATAAATAAATAAAATCTTAAAAAAAAAATAGTACTTCTATCTGATAGCGCCTTGAGCCATTTTGTGTAAACTCAAAAAGACCTCTCAGGGTGGACTGTCTGAGCTTGGGTACAGACAGTGGCTTTGTGTGGATTGGGAAAACATGACTCTTCTTATAGACGAATTGGTATGGTTTGACAAAGAGAGCCCAGGCTGGCTCTTAGTCTCAACCTGTCTCCTCAGCTAGGCACCCTTGTTCAGTGTACAACCTGTGTCATCAGCCCCGACAACGTGACTACCACACTGGGCAGCTGAGGCATAAAGGAGTCAGTTTTGGTTCTGTAAAAGGTGCTGTTTCTATTATCAAAATTTCAAGGTGGGAGGCTAGGGTGGAGGAGGATTCAGAAGGCCTCTAGATCCGTGTAGGGCTATCTTAGAGAAGGGAGGTGATTTGCTAGAAGCTGTTGCTTATTGGCAGAACTGTGGCTAGAACCCAGTTGTCTTGACTTTTGGCCTCCTACGAATGCTGAGTAGGTGTCGCTAGACGACTGTGTGATTCAAACAAAAGTACCATTGATAGAAGATGAGGGTGAGGGGCACTATGGCCTTTCCCAGCACCAAGTGCCTGCCCAGAGCCATTCACATGGCAAACTCACAGATGATATGTCTTATTTTCCAAAGCCAAACAGTACATTGGTTCCTTTGTCTGATATCTAAATATTTGTTTTAAAATATACTATGTAGAGGGCATATATAGATCCCAGCCACCGTTTTTTTTTATTATGTTCAGTTAGCCAGAATATAGTACATTGTAAGTTTTTGATGTAGTGTTCAATGATTCATTAGTTGCCTATAACACCCGGTGCTCATCACAACACGTGCCCTCCTTAATACCCACCAGCCACCATTTTAATAGAGGATTCGAGGAATATTATTATATGGAGGTGTCCTTCTGTTGCATTTGAATGAAAAACCTTTGAAAAGTGGTATCTTTCCATTCCATACTTTTTTGAGTAAAACCAAATGGAAAAATGGTTTCATTACTAAAGAGAAAAAGGAAAATGAGGTTGAGTCACGATGGAGGTTGGCCTATATATTCCCAGTCCTCCCTTTAAAATCTTCTAAGTTGTAAAATATAACACAGTTCCAGAAAACCACATGAAACAAACACTTAGTTTGAGTTTAGTTAATTATTGAAGGTGAACAGTCTTGGAATCACTGTGTCAAGAAGTAGATCCAAATCCAGGAGCAGAATTCACCACCTTGGAAACCCTTCTTGGGCCCCCTCCCAGTGAGAATTCTTTCCCTCCCCCTCCTTCTCATTTTCTTTTGATCACTTCCTTGCTTTTCTTCATAGTTGTGTTGCCCAAATCATACTAACTTTTTAAAGGATAGGCTATGTGATCATCCTATCTGTGTAATGAGCATTTCATCATTTTTAAGTATAATCAACATACAATGATATATTCGTTTCAAGTGTACAACATGGATTTGATGTTTTTATATGTTACTCACGATAAGTGCCATCTGTCACCATACAACAGTATGACAGTATTATTGACTGTATTCCCTATGCTGTGCTTTTCATCTCCATGACTTACTTATTTTATAACTAAGAGTTTGTACCCCTTAATCCCCTTTATTTATTTCACCCATCTCCCCTATCCCACTCCCCCCCCCCCCCCCCGCCCCAGCAACCCTTAGTTTGTTCTCTATTTAAGAGTCTGGGTTTTTCTTGTTTGTTTGTTTGTAGTTCCCTTGTTCTGTTTTTTATATTCCACATATAAGTGAAATCATATGGTATTTGTCTTTCTGTGTCTGGCTTCTTTCACTTAGCACAATGCCCTCTAGGTCCATCCATGTTGTCACAAATGGCAAGATCTCATTCTTTTTCACCACGTTTTATTTTCGTTTGGTAATCTAATAACTTGTTTGGGTGAATTCTAGTAGTTTTCTAACTTGACTTGGATGCCTTTTTAAATGCCAAATACCGGTGAAATACAACAGTTTTGTGGTTACTTTGGATTCTTGGCTAAAAATTATTCAGTCATTAGAATCTCCAGTGGTGAAATCGACCAGTTCTTCACACAACTCTACAACTGCCATAGGACTGTGTGTACTTGGCCGGGACCCTCTAGTTCCAGTTCTTTGCCCCAAATCAGGAAGCCAAGGGGCTTGACCTCCCTTTCCTTCCCATCCTCAGTGCTAATGTCATGTTGACTTGATGGCTGGCAAGTGCCATTTATGTGTAGTGAGCAGGTGAGAGAGAGTGGGTTGAATATAAATGAAATGACCAGTAGTAAACTGGTAAGTGCCCGATAGTGAACTGTCATCAGTGAAAACAGATAAGAGAAACTGCTCCAGGATAAATGAATGAATGAATGAATGAATGAATGAGAAGGCACTGGTCAGGTTGTTGACCTGAGTACTCTGCAGACACTGCTTAATGACTTTCGGTCCTAGCCCCAGGCAACAGTTTATTATGAATATTTTGAAACATTGAAAGAAAGAAAGAAAGAAAGGAAGGAAGGAAGGAAGGAAGGAAGGAGGGAGGGAGGGAGGGAGGGAGGGAGGGAGGGAGGGAGGGAGGAAGGAAGGAAGATAGATTAGTTCAAAGAAACCCATGTACACCACACCTAGTTTCAGTAATTGCAAACATTATCTGCATTTACTTCTTACACACACACCCCCCAAGTATTTTTTCAACCATTTCAAAATACATTGCAGGCAACAGACCTCTTTCCCTCTAAATACTTTAGCGTGCATCTCCAAGTTCTCCTATGTAACCAGCATGCTGCTGTCAGTCTTAATAAAGTGAAGTAATGCCCTAGTATTATCAAATGACCAGTATGTATGCAGATTTTCCCAGTTGTGCCCAAAATGTCTTATAAAGTTTCATTTAAACTAGGGTTTCCGTAAAGAGCAAACAATGCAATTGTCTCTTAAGTCTCTCATTTTATAAATAGCAACCCTCCCCTTTTCTTCATGACATTGGCTTTTTGAAGGTCAATTTTCTTATGAGATGTGTCATATTCTGGACTTGCACAATTGTTTCCTCATGGTCTCATTTAACCCAGACACTGCATGTAGGAGGTTAGCACATTGACTTCCCTGTGTGGTTTTGTACCCAGCACCTACAAACCCAGATCCATCTGGCTAATGTGCCTCAGCTACACTCTTTCTCCTGAGCACTATTTCCGAAAAAAAAATTGCAACCACCTGGTTTAGACACTGAAGTTGTGGATTTTTTCCCCCTCCTTGGATATATGGCTTGGGGGAAAAAGTAATAGAACTTCCAAGCAGTATTAAATATCCTACTAGATGGTTTCCACTTAGGATTTGTAACCTCTCCAAACCTCATAAAACAGGCTCCTGTTTTAAAGACGCAGGAACAGGCTTGGAGAAATGAAGCCATTTGTCCAGTGTCACATAACCCCTGAGTGTCAGACCTGAAATTTGGACCCAGATTTGCCTAATTCAGAGGTTTTATACTTCAGTGTGCTGAGGACTGGATGACAGTTCCATACACTGATTTGCCAAAATTAGCCTGAACTCAAATATTTATTTAAGGAACAAAACATGACACCCAGGTAAAAATAACACCATGGCTGAAGCATATCTCTGCTCCTTGCAATGGAGACAACACACATAACCCAGAAGCACTCCACTAGCCCACTTTCTTTCTGGACTCTTCTTTCTCTTTGCTCTCAAATCAATCACTAACACTTGATGTTGTGTTAAAGCTCACTTTGAGTGTTGTCTGTCTTTGCAGCTTCTGTTCTGTGTCTTCGTAAGGCCGGGACAACTTGAGGATGTGCAAACACAGTTCCTGCTAACCCCACTCACATGTTCCTGGACTGACCATTTTCCATGCCTACAGCGTACAATGGGTAGATCAGAGGATTTAATGCTCCCAGGGTGCTTTTGAGTGTTGCCTGGATTCTTAATTAGATCTCTCTCTGTTTTTTTTTAGTGGAGTCTGTCAATCTGTGGCTATAAACAGCCGCCTTCTGGTTTTCTGATGACATGATGAAAATATAAATGGATTCTGCAGATTGCATTTTATTATCTTCAATATTAAGCACTTAGATCTAGTGCTGGAGAGGATCATGGTCTGATCATGTTGATTAAATCATCCCAGGCCTGGACTTCTGTGCTGTTTCTTTGCCAACCCAAACTGAATGGATAGAAGAAGCAATTGTTATTAGAGAGAGTATAGTGGTGTAAATGCTGCAAGAAGACGTGCCTTCCGAAGGCAGTGCGGTGGGGCAGTGAAGCCTGGATTCTAGTCACATCCTTGCTGATAGCCAGCTGCGTGACCTGGAGCAAGTCACTTAATGGGCAGGACATTATTTGTCTCATCTGTGACATGAAGGGGTTGTGGTTATGACTTGGACTTATTTTGGTGTCGTGAGAAGGGATGCAGGATGACCCGATGGCGACATTGCTGGATGCTGCGTGGGAGGTGGTCTGGGGAGGGGCCACGGCAGGAGCAGAGAGGGCAGGGGGGCAGCTGCTGCTGTCATCTCGCCGAGAGGCAGCCGAGACTCAGGCTAGTTTGGTGCTGCAGAGACAGGGGGAAAATAACAGGTCTAGACTGCATTTGGAGGGACAAACCTTGCTCTTCTCATTGCTCTCAGGTCAGGGGACCCATGTCACCAATTTTGTTTTGATCTTGGTAAGTGTGAAATGTGCATTAGGTAACTAAGCGGAGACGTCAAGGAAGAAGCTGGATATTTGATTCTGGACTTCCGGGGAGACAAGTCAGGGCCACCAATGATAATGTGTGAGTTAGCACATGCCAGGTAGTTAGAGATATTTAAAGGTGAGAATATTTAAACTTATAAAAATGCCTGAGTTATTGTATGTGACATGTTTGAAGGCATGGGACTGCCCAGGGGAGGGGAGTGTGTGGCTAGAGAGAGGCCAAAAGCAAAGCGAGGAAAGGAGAAAACAGCCATGTTGCACAGGTAGGCAATGACTGAGGAAGACATATGTACGGCAACGGTGAAGAGCTATTTACCGAATGAGGTAGGAGGAAAAGCAGGGGTGTCTGGCCGTGGGGGGCGGCCTACAAGATGCAAGTGGTCCAGGCAGGGGGGAGTGATTGACTCTCAAGCTACTGAGACCTTGATGCCCATCAGCTGAGGTGTCTCTGTGGATCAGACAATGTGGTGATAAGATAATTCAAGGGGAGAACCAGGAAAGCGTGGCATCATCCACGGTCAGGCAGGAAAGACCTGTAAAGAGTATTGGAAAGAGAGAAATCAATAATGGGATCTAATTCTAGTATTGTTGCCAGTGTCGACGATGAGATTTATTGAACTCTGGCGGTGGCTCAGGCACTGTGGGAAGGGTGTGGCAAACACTGATTCATTGACTCTTGATGCAAACCTTGGAGATAGGTACAAGTATCATTTTGTACCTAGGGAGGCTGACGGTTGATAGACGTTCATTAATCTACTTATAATTTAGCTTGTGCTTGTGGAGCTCAGAGTCAGACTCATGGGTCTCAACTCAACCCTGTAAGAATTTTCAGGGAATTAAAAGTGGATAGCTTGGAGGCCCCTGAGCTATGATGATTAAGGGCAATGGGTGCTAGATACTCATTCAGGGAGTTTGGACTGTGAAAGGAAGGAGAAAAACAGGATAGTTAAAGGGGCTGGTTTGAATTAGGGTTCTTAGGAAAAGAGGGATTGCATGCTACCAGCAGGGAGATGAAGACTGCTGTGGGCCAAGGGGTAAGGTAAGGACCCGGGGGTGGGAAGGAATGGCATTGAGAGCCTTGACGGAGGAAAGAGAAAGTGTATTTCTTCCTTTTGAGGAAAGGATGAAAAGATAGGGGTAGAAACCATATACAGAGGAATGTGTATGGGGTTAGGGGCAGTGGTCCTAAAGGTTTGGCCAGACAGTTTCCATCACACTATGATTCCAAAAGCGAGGTCATTGTATATCAGTGGGGATGGTAGAGTCCTCGAGGAAGTAATTGAGAGCAACAAGCAAAATGTCATTTTGGGACTGTCTCTTTAGGAATGAAGAATTAGTGGGGAATGGGGAGAATGATTGCCAAAGAACCGCTTCCTTGCCCCCATCTTCTGGGGTATCTTTTTGTTTTAGGATCAAGGTCAACCCATACCTCTGACACACAGATCCTTTACTTCTGGGCCATGCCCACCCTGGCACCTCATGCCCTCTCACCCTCTCCCTCTCCACCTGCCTCCTTGCTGTGCTCAGCCCTTAGAACTTTTCCTCTTTGCTCAAAGAAACCTTTGTGCAGGTCTTTGTCTTGGGCAGAGAGAGTTCATTCTTTTGCTCCGATGCTGCACAGTATCGTGCTTAGGAATAAGAACTCTGCAGTCACACTACTTGGGGTTCAATCCTGGCTCTACTATTTGTTAGCTTTGTCTCCTTCAGCACCTTACCGAACCTCTCTGTGTCTAGGTTTCCTTGACTTTACAGTGGAACTAATAATAATAATAGGATCCACCTCACTAGATTTTTATGAGGATTAAATAAAACAATATTTGGATTTGGCAAGCTTTTAGAACGGAGAGGACATATGGTAGTTGGTATATGAATGTGAACTGTTAACATGCAACTGTTCCTTCAGTCATGCAATTTGTGTTAATTGCTCTTGTAGATCTGTGTCCATATTTCTCTTCCAACATCTACTGTACCGTTTGATCTTTCCCCCCTGGATTGTGGATTCTTCCTGGGTAGGGTACAGATTTTATTATTTTGGTCTCACATGCACACCTATGACATTGCCTGGCACGAAATGGGTATTCAGTAGATGATTGATTGGTTGATTGCTAATTCTATTTCAGATGAGTATGATTTATGATTGTTTATGAAGAGTTTCCATAGAAACTTGATTTGATTTTTCTAGCAACCCCACGAAGAAGACAGAAGTAGCAATGGATTTATTTCCCAGTAAATGTGAAAAATAAGAGCAATTCTGTTCTGCTTTATTTTACAGTTTAAGTGTAAAAATATGCAGAAATGTCCTTTTATTAAATAAGTCAAATATGATCAGAAGAGAAGGGAGTATAATGAGCCACAAATAATCTTCTTCAGTGAATTTTAAGGAGGTATTATTTTTCATTTACTGTTTATAGGAGGAAATCACAACCTTCTGAAAGCATACCTTTTTTTTTTTTTATTCAACAGATATTTATTGAGTATCTACTGTGAGCCAAGTACTTTTCTAGGCACAGAGTATACAACAGTGAAGAAAACAAGTAAAATTTCCCACTCTCACGTTACTGGGTGGAGTTGGGCAATAAACAAAATAAAAATGTAATATGAAGTGTACTTATTTTTGTACAATTTAGAGAAAATATCTATGTCTTTCAGAAGTTAAGTCAAAATATATTAAATTCTATATTTTTTTCAGTTGCTTGAACCCAGGGACCATCATTTTGTCAGGTAATAGAATCTCCTCTCTTAAGATCATTATAATAGGGTTTCCAACATTTATTTAAAATCCTCTTTAGCCCTGCAGTTTATTGGTGGACTGCAGTTTGTCTGCCAGATTGCTTTAAAAAAACAACAACTGAAGATGAATGAAAATGTTTCTGAAATACAGTTTGTATAAATGATAATGAATAGGCCGAGAGACTGATTCTTGGCAGTCTTTGACTATTCATGGCAATTACTTAATAACAGTGGTAACAAAGTAATTAGCAAAGTGTAGCATTTTGATATAATGTGTTACATTATAAACACATTGTGAAAATATTACCATAAATTTGTGTGGTTTTTTTATTAGACTTTTTTTTCAGTTCTCCATATTTCAGTTATTTGAATGGTTTAGAGCAGTGCCATTGACATGAACAGACTCAGAAACATAATTACCTTTTAGTTCATTGAGACGGAAATCAAATACAGGTGAGCTTACTTAATTACTTGCATAAAAATAGTGTGATGACACATTGTGATGTCCTTTTGCCTCTGCTTTTGGTTTAATTGCTAAAGTAGGTGAAAGTGTTTCTTTTCCTTTAAAACTATCAATGTTCTGGTAAGTTATCCATTCTTGAGTATTTTAATCTGACACAGCATATCCCTCCATTGCTGTAAATAACAAATATTTTAGATAGTAATGAAAGTGAATTAAACCTGAACCATAAAGCAAGGAAAGAAATCTGATATTGGGCTTTACTGAATGACACACAAGGCATGGATGCTGACATAGCTACCACCGTAAGTTCTGAGGATCTCTTCGAATGGGGAGATATGCGCAAGTTCATTATGGCCACTCTTGAAATCGTGGTGTCCAACGGCTTGGTCAGTATGTTCCTATTAGTTTTTTGTTTGTTGCTTGCTTGCTTGCTTGTTTTTCTGGTGAATGCCTTTAAGGAAGGGTAGAAACTTTGGCTTTTACTATGAGTGAGATGGGGAGGTTTTGGGGGATTTTAAGTGGAATGTGGCACGATCTAACTTTATGAGATTACCCTGGCTGCTCTTTTGAGAATAGAGGGAAGGGAGGCAAGGGTGGAGCAGTGAGGCGAGTTAAGAGACTTATCCAGGTATAAGATGATGGTGGCTTGGAGTAGGTGGTAGAATGAGAAGTAGTTGGATTTTGGCTAAGTTCTGAAGGGAAAGTCAACAGAATTTCTTAGTGGGCGTGACTGGGTGTGAGAGATATGGATCAAGTATCACAAAGCTGAATAGCTGCAAGGATGGAGTTACAAGAATTAATTGATCAGATGGGTGAGAACCAGCCGGGTGTGGAGAGCAGGATTTGGGGGAAATGATAAAGTGTTCTTAACATTTCAAGCTGCTCTTCCACTGCTAGCCCTGGCCACTGCTAGCCCTGGATGCTCCCGAACCTGGGCTCTCTCCCCACCCATTCCACTCCCAGGTCCCCATATCAGGCTCTCTTTAAGAGTTTTATTAGATCTTCCCATCCTGCTCAGTGTCCTTGGAGGGTCATCAGGAGCTCATGGTTTGGCTAGCACCATGTCTGCAAGGTTACTGAGAGTCCTTAGTTGGAATCCAGGTGGGAAGGTTAGTGAAGAGTTTGGGCGGCTATTGTTCACTTCCCCTGCTCATGGACTGTTGGTAATGGTGGTTGATTCTTGGCAGCCATATTGTTTTTTTAATAGCAATGGCTTATGCTGTCATGAAGGGAACAGTAATTAACAGACTTTAGAGTTGAAATATACAATGTGTGACAGTATAAACACATCATAAAAATGTTGTTGAGACAGGACATCCAGAATCCTGATTCCAGTGGATGGTCCTCCTTTTCTGATTCCGAACTGTTGGCTTGCTTTCTATGCTAGATCAGGGCTTTGTGAAATTTACTTTGCATATGAATCACTTGGGGATCTTTTTGGATGCTCGTTCTGATTAAGTAGATCTTGTAGAGTGTAGGAGGAAGACTGATAGTCTGTATTTCTAACACTAATTTCAGGTGAAATTCTGCTGCTATTAGTCTAAGGACCTAACTCTTCAGTGGCATGGTCCTTGTTGAATTTCTGGAGTCTGTTCAACTGTCGACCCTCTTAACCAAGATCTAGACACCTCTATGCTAAATAACTTGGGCTTGGAAGAAAGGATGGCCTTAGGGCCAGTGGAGAGCAGTGAGAAGGCTATGCTGGGACCTAATGGGCACAGAAGCAGGGAAGAAAGCAGAGTAAGAACAGAGGCAGAAATGAGCACCTTCTTCCATTTGCATGGTGCCTGTTCCCATCTCCATAACTGGCAGTCTAGGAAATTGAATTTAATCATACTACGCCTTGGAGGATGTTAATTAGTAGGCTGACTTGGGACTGTTAAATCTACTCGAAATTTTTTACTGGCTATGCGTCACATACAATATAATTTTAAATAGTACATGAGTTTTGTTTTTTAAAGATTTTATTTATTTATTTGACAGAGACAGAGATAGCGAGAGCAGGAACACAAGCAGCAGGAGTGGGAGAGGGAGAATCAGGCTTCCCCCGAGGAGGGAGCCCGATGTGGGACTCGATCCCAGGACCCTGGGATCACGACCTGAGCCGAAGGCAGATGTTTAACGACTGAGCCACCCAGGCACCCAATAGTACATGAGTATTTTAAGTAGTCGGTGGACCACCAATATTTTTTTATAACCTTGATAGTCCTGTTAACTTCTGTTTATGGTATGAATTTGGTTATCTGCTTTCCTCTCAGTTTGTGAGCCTTCTGCATGCAGTGATCATGTCTCATTTGTATTTTGGTCTCGAGGCCCTGCCCATCATCATGGCTCAATAAA